AATAAATATTTCTCTTATGTATTTAATAATCGTTGCAATGAACTGCTCAAGCCTGATGTCTCATGAAATAACACGAAAACAAAAACTATAAAAGTTGTGAAAAACAAATTTCCTTTTTTCAGCGTTTCGGGAGCGTTCTGTTTACATAACATCACGCCTATTTATACCCGAAGGGGAAGGTAGAGGTGCACATTACTGCACTTAATGCCATTGTACAATGTAACACCTACTTTTCACTTTTTATGTTATGAGCCCCATGTAATAGGGGGTGAGCCTATTGCCATATACCGGGCACAGTTCCAGACTCCGTGCTGCTAGTAATACAAATGCGTTTCGTTAACACCCCGTATTATGTATTTTGTACTGACTGTATACATGTAAGAAAACAAAGACTGATTTAATTCAAAAGCATTATACTATGACTTAACTAACCATTGTTTACTATGACTAATGAACTGGTCACTTTTTTAGAAACTGTTACCAAGAAATGAGAAATACCCACTTGTCACCAACACCTCAAAATCAGAATTAGCACTTATGACAACTAGATATAAGATAAAAAATCGTAAAATGAATTGCTAAATGGACCACATCGGTGTGTTAGCCATCAATCGTGATTCTCGCTCACTCACATAAAGTTTCCACAATGAACTAACTAGCGTAGTGATGGGCGTATGCTCGCGAAAATATCGATAAAGTGTATTTTTATCGATAATTTTATTTTCGTTTCAGTGTTTTTGTTTAAAAAATCGTCAAATTAAAAATGTATTACATCGACATAATTAACTCAATTAAGTGTAATCGTATTCTACGCCTAATTAAAAATTACTCGTTGAGAAAATTTAAACAGTTTTTAATTATGTATTTTCAGTAAACTTATTATACGCCCCAAAAAATTGAATGTGAAACTTGAGTTTCAAGTACCAATCCACTTAATTACGCTCAAAAAATAATCGTCTAACAACCAAAAATAGGCTCAGACCACGTATTATTAAAACAATGACTAGTACTTTTGGATAATTTAATTAAATTTCATGTTCACACAAAGATGTTTTGTATGAAAACGAGGCTGGTATCATTAATCATTTACTTGGAATCCGTCTGTGAGAGCTTTTAGGAATAATATTAATCACACGGTAAGGTTTCTTGTTCTAGGTATAAATCTAGGTCAGACATATGTCTAAGACAGATTATTCAGCCCTATATTCTGAACAGAGCCATGATATCGAGGGGTAACGGGCTATTTGGTTTAAGCGACATTTTTGCAACTTTACAGGAGAGCCTTTTAAAGTTTGAAATTTGGAAAAAAAATTCGTAACAAAAACATTTCTGCAGTTATTTGAACGGGGTAAATTGCATTGAAATTTAAATTAAATTATCTAGTTGCTGATGCTAATTCTAAATAAAGCGGACCTTTAATTACAAAGATAAATGTCGCTTAATACAATCTGCCCTTTTTTAGAGTCAGGAAAAACGATTTAAGTGACTTCATAACTACAATTGGCTACAAGGGAAAAAAATTAAGCGACAATGCACTCTATTTACAGAGTAAGCTAAAAAATATGAAGTGACGAAACCAAAAATTAATAGAAGCAAGCTATTTATCTTAACTACCAATTCGGACTAAAATGAGTGACAGGCTAATTTACTTATGTGACATATAACATTGAAATTATAACGTTTAATGTTTATGTTTATTTACATCTAAGGCGATTAATGGCTGATAAAACAACCTGGATATAATCGCAATCACCGAAAATCTCAGATGCTTACATTGAATAAATAAACACAACACAATATCAAAGTATTTATTTAGAGTAATAATTACAGTTTCAATAGGAATATCGATTATATTTCAGCAAAATCAATTAAATTAATGGGTCATTTACTGAAATTGCCGTTTTGTATGAAAAAATTTAAACGATTTTTTCATGTATTTTTTATTTGTATAATCAACGTAATCACCCATGCAATCAATGCATCGTTGCCAACGCAGTGGCAGTTTATTGATGCCCTTCTTCAATCAGCTGGACGGGTAGCAACAAATTCTTCAAATGCATTTTGTACTGCCTCTCGGTTATTAAATTTTTTCCCGCCAAGAAGTTATCCAAATTCTGGAAAAAGAAGTAGTCTGGTGACTGGTGAGTAAGGTGGATGTCGGAGAGCTTCACAACCCCAGTTCTTGTAACGTGGAGGCCGTCTCTTGTGCAGCTTTAGGTCGCGCGTTGTAATGCAGGAGCAATGGAGATTAGCGATTGACCAGTGCTGGTTGGAGATGTGTCAGCTTCTCCATCATTGTGTTCAGTTCTTCACACTACACATCCGTAGTAATGCTCACTCCGTTTGGTAAGAATTTGTGATGAATCAGAATAGCGCGAGCGCTAGACCATCAGTGACCATCACTTTTCTAGGGGTAAGTTTTCGTTTAGGGCATTGTTTAGGTGCTGAACTAGGATTGAACCAACATGCTAAACGCGTGTGGTTATCACACAGATTTCATTTTTCATCGGAGGTGACAATGCAAATCAAAATTCTTTCATTTGTGTGTATATTGAGCAGTGCAGTGCAAGGCACTACTCGATGCATTTTTTTTTAAGGGTGGAAAATTATCGAATGACTGCTCCCGCCTGGGTGAGACGGGAAAGAGTGTCAGACTCTTACTGACTAAAAATCACCCCGTTTCTTCTCCTGCACGTCGAGTCGGAGCCCCGGTTACCCGTTAGGTTCTCCGCGACTCCGAATCGGCATCGACCCTGTTGGGCCCCATCTGTGGTGGTCTGATGGTTCTTTGAGGCGAGCGCGGAACGCGACGCGCCGTACGCTCGGGTCTGTTTCTGGTCGGACGTGGAGCCACCCATGCTCATCGTCCGCAGGCCCGCGCTTACGGTAACTGGAGATCGTCCCGCGATCCCCGACGCCAGGTGTGTCCTTCGCGGTGGCTGGGTTGCGAGGAGCCAGCGCTTCGCTGCCTCACGCGTCCCGCCTCCTCCTTAGCTAGCATAACTGCTTCGCAAAAGGAGGAGACGGCATCCCAGTCCCCCTCGCACTGCTCGATGCATACTTAGCTCTGTTGATCATTTAGTTTGTGGGACACCCACTTATCAAGCTTTTTTACCTTGCCAATTTGACGCAAATGTACCAATATTGTTTTGACGCTAACGTCGAAAGCTGTTGCTAAATCAGCCGTAGATTGTATGTCATCAAAGTCATTGTTGCCAAAGTCTTCGAACGACCGCGAGTTTCATCTTGAAATTAAAGTACTTAGGATTCAATTTCGATGAGCGTTTTACGTAAACACTGGCGGTGTGTGCGCGTCCCGTCTGTCTTCGGCGCACTCTGGAGTGACTGGAGCGCCAGCGCACGATAGTCCAGTTGGATGATAACGATTTTTAACACCAGGGCGATGAATTAAACATGGTATCATATGACATGATTGAAATGTACCATATTAAAACTTAGTGATTGAAAGACCGACTCGTATTTCTATGAATACTGGAAAAATGTTTCAATATTCATTATCAATGTTATCGTCTGTACAAAACGACATGCATTTAAAAAAAATGAGGGTTAAATGGTTTATGACTAAACAAAATATCTGAACGAAAACAACTATTTGGTTTAAGTAGCACCCTGCGTAGAAAATAGAGGCAGCTAGAAATGTTTAAGAGACGTACCATGACGCATTTGGATGACGGACAAATGTTTTAAGCGACATCACACCGTGTGATTAGTGGGAAGTCAAAATGATTCAAGTTACTTGTTAATAAAAATTAGAAACAAGAAAAACGCTTTAACTCATGTTGACTTAATCATTAGAGATAGGGTGACTGGTTTATGGCTCGGTTATTAATATGATGGTATGGTTCAAGTACATAATTTAATAAAAAATGCGAAATCCATGTCGTTTAATACACTGCCACTTTGGAAACAACATGAAAATAGAATTGTTTGAAACGCCAAAAAAGTGCTCCGATTTTAATAAAACCGGAATCATTCGACGGAGAAAAATTCGCTGATTCCGAATATATATATAACTCAATATCGCCCAAAATGTCGCTTAAACCAAATAGCCCGTTACCCCTCGATATAATATACAGTATTTTCTTAAGTCATATTGTGACTTGCTAACATAAAGGATGGTAGAAAAATAGCTGTCAGTTAAGGCATCGTAGGTGTATTGTTGTTAGAAGGTTATTTATATCAAGTACTTGGGGTTTAACATAATACAATGTTTGTTATTCTGTAAAGGGGTAGCTATTGTTATTTATAGTACACCTACATTGTTTTCTTGCCGTGTTTAGTGTACGTGTATGCTTGTTAGTTGTGTTTACCTGGTGCTAATTTTGATTACAGAATACAATAGGCAATTATTATAAATAGAGTTAGACTAAATCCAGGAAATAGAGCCAGGAGTTCGTCCTAGATTGTCCCACTCACTTGTAACTCGACAGTTTTTGTACGTAATAAATTTAGTCGTGGAAGGTATTTACTTTAGCCAATTTATTAAAAGGGCGTAGGAGAGGACATTTGCTAACAAATGGTCCTACTTATGACTTGTGAAAATGTCAACCATTTTGGAGTACATACAATGTTAACGCAAGGTTAATGCGAAAATGTCAACTGTGTTTTGTTTAACGAAAATTGTAATAGATTAAAATATTGATTACGTACCATCATATTTTGCGACGTCATTGAAATATGAACAGTATAATATGTTAATTATAAATCGTTTACGTCATTTTGTTTACAAGTGAGATAATAAGGTAGAAATTAAAACAAAATAAATGAAAAATATGACAGTTGAAAATCATGACACAAATGTAATAAACAAAAAACATCGATATTTTGTAAGCACATCACTAGACAAATCAACGCCATTATATGCACTCGACGGTCTTTCCTTGTATTCAAACTAAGAACACGATCTAGAGATGTATATTTTTAAACGTTTTTTATTGATTTAAAAAGTGTTTTTAGTGCAAATCAGTGAATAAATAAAAATGTACAACACTTTATTATCATGTGATTAAAACACATATTATTCTTAAACAAAAATTCTGGCTGTTTTGTAATATGTATTAGTGACTTGTAAATATTAATTAAATATTTTGGAAAAATAAACAATGAGAAATAAATACAATTATGAAGGGTTTTAGTAATGGTTAATATTTTATCGGGAATTATCAGTTAAAACACTAAAGTGGTCTGGGATATTTTGTGAAAACATGACACACAACTAAGCGACATCCCAGAGGAGATTCAATAAAACCAGTATTTTAGAGGATATAATATAGTTGATGAACATTAAACAGACATGTATTTGACGAAGTTTAAAATTTGGGACAATTAATTAAAAATCAATGCCAAAGGGACAGTTGCTAAAACTTTTAGGGACAATTAATTAAATTGTGTTTTACATCTATGCGGTATGTGTTGGCAGTGGTGCTGGTGTGCTCAGTGCAGAGCTTACAGCTGGACAACCAGGCGTCCACGAGGAGGCCAAGGGTCACCAAGTACAGCAAAACTACCATTGCGCCTGGAGGATCAACGGTGAGGGCATTTTTACTTATATCTTTTTTAGGGACTTTAAAGCAAAGGAGGTTTTCTGTTCGTTAGAATGTTTTTTTTTACTTTTTCTTTATATAAGTTAGCGACATTGTTGTTCTGAGTTACTAAACAAAAATAAATAAATTTTAGAAGTAATAGTTTATACTGCCTCGTTGGCCGAGTGGTCGCAAGTGCGACTGCCAAGGGCAAGGGGTCTCGGGTTCGATTCCCGGGTAGGCAAAGGATTACTAGGTTATTAAAAAATTCTCAGTAGTAGCACGGAGTCTGGAATTGTGTCCGTTATATGGCAATAGGCTCACCCCCTATTACATTAGACTCATAACATAAATAGTGAAAAGTGGGTGTTACATTATACAGTGGCATAATGTGCACCTCTGCCTACCCCTTCGGGGATAAGAGGCGTGATGTTATGATGTTATGTAGTTTATATACTGAACTGACAATGTATATATATATGTAAAGTGGAACCTAGCAATTAAATTTTATAGAGTTAGCACGTGTATCTATAAGCTTTAATATCCAACTGATTGAGTTACAGCCATTTAATGGTAAGCTGTATTAACTCGTTGAGTACCGTCATTATAAACACAATTAAAGAACAATAGGTTGCGGTTACCGGTGACTGCTCGGTGCTTGACAGTTTAAAGATTGTTTTTAAAAAGTGTTTATTTTTTAATTTTAGGAAGCAGTAACAGAGAGGAGCCTCAACACGGCGACGTATCGCCTGCTCGGTAGAGACGGGGAGACGTGCATCTTACTGATGGTGGACGCGCTCTTAGACATATCATACGTCACCAAACTTAACGAGAGAACCGTAAGTGGAATTTATAATTGTTAGCACCTATTTAACCTCCTTATCCTATATCATTACAGATTAATGAAATTGGAGTCTGTTTCTTTAAAATAACTGCTTTTTACTACATGCAAACGGAGTGATACCACGGCCTCACAGAAAACCGACGTGAAGCAACGCTTGCGTTGTGTTTCGTCGTGTGAGTGAGGTTACCGGAGGCCCAATTACTCTCTCCTTCCTCAGTCTCCGCAATCCCTGAATCCCCAACGATCCTCAAACTCCTAATCCCCAAAAGGCCGGTAACGCACCTGTAACGCCCCTGGTGTTCCAGGTGTCCATGGGCAACGCCGATTGCATATCATCAGGTGATCCGTCTGCTCGTTTATCGGCTTATGCCATAAAAATGCATAAGAATATACATACGATACACATACCATAATAACATTTTTTACAATTTTTGTCTGTCTGTTTGTACTGGCAAATCTCTGGAATGACTGTACCGATTTCGACGGGACTTTTATTGGCAGGTGTACTAAGGAATAACATAGGCTACTTTTATTCTGGAAAATTGACACAAAAATATGTTTTGTCCTAAAATTCACATCGCCGACAACAGCTAGTATAACATAAGTACCAGATAAACATTTATGACAGTTCATACAAATTACGTTCTTAATTCTTTTTCTGGTACATATCGGCTACCCAGACATTATGAAACAGAAAGAACCTAATACATATGCATAAGAGCTATGCATATGTATTAGTCGCGGAGAACCTAACGGGTTACCGGGGCTCCGGCTCGAAGTGCAGGAGTAGGAACGGGGTAGTATTTATTCAGTAAGAGTCTGATATTCCCTCTCGCCTCACTCAGGCGAGAGCAGACATTAGATGGTTTTTCCACCTTAAAAAAAATGCATATGTATTATAAACACATTGTCGGATAATAGGCCGAGTCAAGTGAGGTAATGTGTTTCTAAAACAATTCTGCTGACTTTGAGCTGATTGTGGACAAAAATCGAACTTACCCAACTTGGAAAAGGGTTCAGAGATATAAACGTTACAAAATACCTAAGATTCAAAATTACTAACTAACCGTATTCATTACCAAATGTTTATGAAACCACTGCGCCAATCATTACCGTTTCAATTTTCTTGAGAGAGCCATGAGCCTGTACATATTCCTAAGCATAAAACTGACATAACAAAGTTCCCGTACCTACAACACACGTTTTCAAGCATTACGTTTTATGTGTAAACTTGAAGTGAAGTTGGTAGTAACTAAATCATGCAGCAAAGTGTTATGTAGACAGCTCATAGTAATTAACCTTTACAATAAAGTTCAGTGTTGTGTAGTTGTAATTAATTTAACACGGCTTTCTTGCTAAAATTTGTTTTGTACAGCGATAAATTTCACTGAGTCATAGGTTAGATTAAGTTTATTTTAAAACTGTTTGTTATAATAGGGTAGTTTCCTAAATTTTATTTTAATGTCCGTCTGGTAGATTATTTTAAAATTTATTTATCTCACAAAATTAAATGCTTTCGACGATATATTGATTTGAAATATCGTGTGACGTCACAGCGTGCTACAAAATGTACCACGTTGTGACGTAACTACCTTCCACTCCTAAACTTAACTTCATTTTATGTAAGTATTGTAATTTTATACGAGTAAATAAAAAATACGTGTCGAATATTTTTTCATTATCTAACTGACGGACTTAATTAGATTTTTAATTTTCTTACCTTGGCGACTACCCTATTAACATTATGAGTGAGTGTTTTGTGAGTTAGTAGACTAGACAGTGAAGGCAAAGAATTGATATTCTGGAGTAAGCGATGATATTTTACTTTTTTATGGGATAAGCCGGTAAACGAGCAGACGGATCACTTGATGGTAAGCAATCGGCGTCGCCCATGGACACCTGGAACACCAGGGGCGTTACTGGTTTTTTGGGGATTAGGAATTTGAGGATTGTTGTGGATTCAGGGATTGGGGAGAAGACAGAAGGTGACGTGTACTTTCTTATTAATAAATGTTTATCTATTTGTGTTCCAGGATGCGAACACGTTCGTACCGAACAACGCCAACGTGGCTGGAGCGTGTAAGGAGAGCGATGCTGAAACACTCCTGCTGACCTTCAAGGACTTCGCTCTGGAATTTTCATTTTCTAAAGTAAGTTTTCTGATACACAGAATCATTATCTTGAACGAAGGCAGACTTTATTGTGACTTGAACTTTATTGACTTAACAGTGACGTCACACGATATTTCAAATCAATATATCGTCGAAAGTATACAAGGTGTTGTTTTAAAGCCGCGTCATTTTCTAGGAGGTAACAAGGATAACGATTCTAAGTCCGAATCAATAAAACTTGTAGGTAAACATTTTTCATTTTTCTGTAAATTACGGAAATCCGTAAGTGCGAACTACACGCCGCGGTCTTGTAACTAGTTTTATAACGCGGCTTAACACACACAAATTTAAACACGTAATTGATATTACTCCTAATTCCATAAAACTCCAATAAGAAATATTGCTGACGCTTGCTCTGAAATACTGTCGAACTTAAACGATTTATTATAGCCATATTTTTAACTATTGCTCCGAAACTTTATCTTACATTAAACCTTTATGACTTCTGTGACATGCCCCCGAGAAATTTCATTCAATTAACCACGGTTTCAAAACTACACCTTGTATGTTTCTGTAATAAAATAAAAAATACGTGTCTAATGTTTTCTATTCCGAGTAAACATAATATAGCTTATTGTCCAACCTCTTATCTATATATGAGACATAAAAGAAAACATATTATGTCTCGCGTATAATTATGTTCGATACCACGGGTTAAACATTGCACCGCGCAAGTATATCTCCTGCGTTGTGGGTACCTTTCTGATAAACAAATTCTTGTAATACATAACCCCTAGACCTGATCCCCGTATCGTATATTCGTATCGTAACAGTATCGAGCGAGTTAAGCGTTCTGATTGGTTGGTTCACTTGAGCCGGCCAATCCGAGCGTTGAACGCGCTCGATACTATTACGATACGAATGCGATAGTTATTCGTGCTTGGCACTGAGAACCTACAATTTGTGGATCGTGTGGACATTCATACTTTCATCACATTGCAGCAATAGACCAACTAGCTTCAACCAGATAATCAGTTCCATGTCTTCTAAATTTTAGAAGACCCAATGACTAAACTCTCATGATTAATGCTCAAACCTTCTCCGTGTGAGAAGAGGCCTTGCTCAGCAGTGGGCATTTATAGGTTGTTGATGATATGATGATGATGAATCACTAAACCCGTTTAATGCCCACCTTCTCTTTCAGACACCTGGTGGAGAACGTTGGTACGCAGACAGTCTCCGTCTGACTTACAACTCGAGCGCTCGGATCCTCGAGCATGCAGCCAACCAGGGTCGGAAGGTTACGCTCAGCACAGACTCCAGGGAGCTCCTGTTTCCCACACCAGTTGGCAAGTCCTACTCATGTCCTGAAGAAACGATTATTGAGTTGGCGGAGGAAGATGCTAAGTAAGTCGTATTTTTATAGTCATTATTGGTTTTTGTCTCTCAAGTTCTTGCATATTCATGTAGGTAAAAAAAGTCATAATATAACCTTATACCTTTTATCCTGAAGGGGTAAGCAGACGTGCACATTACGGCACTTAATTTCAATACAATGTAATACATAATTTTTACTATTTATGTTATGAGTCCCATGGAATAGAGGGTGAGCCTAATGCCATATACCGGGCAATTTCAGACTCCGTGCTACTATTTAGACTTTTTTCAAATAAAGTCAGTAATATTTTGCCTGGCCCGGGAATCGATCCCGAGACCCCCTTGCCCGGCAGTCGCACTTGCGACCACTCGGCCAAAGAGACAGTAATACTATTTTCTGGCTGTCAAGCGAGTGTTCTTTTATTTTGTAGCATTTGCATTTGAGCAGATTGTTTTTTTTTTTCAGTTGAAGAAGAACTGATTTTACCTTTTTAATATTGTGGCTTGAATGATTATGAATTTTTCTTCTAATTTTCAGTCCCGCCACAGCACACCGCGCCAAACTGTACCTTCGCGAGATGAGGCTGCAGGCTTTCATGTACAAGCGAGGCGGGGAGTTCGGGCCGGCGTGGGCATGCGCTCGGGCAGCGCGCGCCCGCGCCGAGTCAGCGCCCGTCGCCGTCGGCGCCGCGCTCGCGCTCGCCACCGCCGCCACACTCTGCGCGTACGCCGCCTGGCGCTACCTCAAGGTCAAGAAGGTACAGTATGACACTATGGAGTAAACCGACCTCTTTCGTTCCCAAATGTAATAATAAAAAAAACAAAACCAACAACAATTTACTTTTGACAGATTGTTTTCTTAATTAGTTCCTTTTTTGTATTGCGATTGTAGTATGTTTGAAATTAGATGTCAGTTTTGATCGTTAAATAAAATGATAAATTAACAGTTTTACTTAAACTAAAATATCTATAATATGACATTAATTGAAATAATGTACGTGATTTGAAGATAATAAATAAAAGGTTACTTAAAAAAATTCATCATAATTAGATAAATTGAGTCTAGATAGCATATTAAATTCACGAGGAAACAAAACGTTGCGAGAAATCTAATCGATTTTTTTTTCTTTTTAAGGTAAACTTCTTTACACTTAAATGAAAGTGTATTTCTATAAAATTCTGTCTTCTATCTCTCATTTTCTTTTTCTCTTTTATTTTCAAATCTGACGATTATTCTTCTATATTCTTTTTTTCTTTTTACGAGAAGAAAATGAGTTTTTCTTTCCCAAAGAAATGATATTTGTAAGAAAGGAGTTTTTTATCGTAGGTCGTTGATATAGTGAGATCTATTAAGATTGTTCTGAATGCCAAGTGGTTTGTCTTAGTACGGTAGACCAAATGTTGTTATGTGTAAGAACTAAGAATCAAGTGAGATTTATAAATGATATTATGCTATGTTCATACTTGTGGGTGTATTTAGGGGATGTTTACACTAATTCAATTTAGTCTACCTTTTGTTATTTGTCCTTTAAAATCTAATGAAGGGCAGAAAAGCACGGAGTATTTTTCACATTCATTTAATTCTCATTATACTGGTACTACAATTATTTTCTAGTACAACTTATCATGCGAAGGATTTTTTCCTATAAATTGTCTTTTACAATAATTGAAATGTTTTAAACAACATTTAAAATACATATCTACAAATTTCCTAAATATATCTACAAGTGTACGCTACGAAACTATTATAAAATACGTTTTTATAATAATATTCTAGAATCGTAGAGGGAAAGCGCCATCTGCTTGTCAATTTGACATTTTTGGAAGTAGCTAGCGATTGAAAAATGTTGTTGGAGTTTTTAGAAAGTCAGCGAAAATATGTCTATTACTATATTATAAAAGCATTGAAACAGAAATAAAATACATTATACATATCTTTTTTGAGGTTCAGAATTTATTATGGAAACGTAAAAAAGAGCGCGAAATGTATAACTTTGAATGAAAGTTAGTGATGTGCATCACTGATATCGATAAAATGCTCGATATGTCAACTTTAGAATAGTTACAGTATAAAAAAATATTAATCAAATTACTGTTTTATATTTATATGTATGTTCAAAGGTTCTCAAATAATCTGAATAAAATACTGAAGTTGAAATTTATAAAGCGTTCTTTGTGTACATCAGTACGTCATTATCAGATTTATGTGAGAATGGTAATTCAAAGGCTTTAGTATGAGTTTGTTTTAAGTAATCGGAACGAAACCGCGTTAAAAATGCCAACTGCTGACCAAAGCCTCTCACACGGAGAAGGTTTGAGCATCAATCACCACGCTTGCTCAATGCGGGTTGGCGATTACAAACTTATAATTAGAAATTATAAGCTGAGGTTTCCTCACGATGTTTTCCTTAACCGTTTGCCAGTGGAGTCTAGATAATCTTAGAAAGTACATATAACTCGGAAAAAGTCACATTGGTACTTGCTGTTGGTAGGTTTCGAACCCTCATGCATGAGAAGCGGGCGTTTTAAATCTCTGGGCTTACGACTACTATTGGTATATACGGTTGGTTCATTGGAGCTGGCCAATCAGAGCACATTACGCTTACTGGTACTAAGCCTTCTGAACAAAAACGATTCAATCACTATAATCAAAACAGGAAATACTGCATGTTCGCTTTACAGATCTCATCTTCAGTGATTGTTTAAAGTTTAATGATGTTGTTGATGGTTGATATAATGTAAAAATGTATTTAATCCCCATGTAACCCCAAATAACCTAAATAAGATAGTTTTATGAGATGTATAACTTGGTTTTAAAGAGAAAATTGGCTTACATATAATTTGAAATATTGTTAGAAAATAGTGTAGTGTAATAATTTTATTATGGGTGTAGCTAAGATTACGACAATTTAAATAAGAACGAAGAATTATTGTCATATAAATTTTTTAATGTTTGACCTTAAAAAATTGAGCCAGACAATAAAAATATAGATTCTTGCTCTATATTAATTTCCGGTGTCTAAGTCTTAATCTTAGATAGGTAATGCAATGACCCTAAAAGTATATTTTTTTATTATTTATGATTATTGTATTGAAACCATCTGTTTACAATCTATTTTCGGCTAACACAAAAAAAGGAATGAAGATATTCAAACGAAATCGTGGCTACACTCATATATCACGCGTTAAATTAAAAAAAACCTCGAATTATTTAATCATATAATCATAGTTAATCGATCATTATTCATAAATACATATCAAAGGATAATAAAATATAATTTTTAATTAAAATTATCATTGTAATTATAAAGGATATATTAATTTGTGATTGTTTGCGGTGTAGTGTTTACTACATTCGTTATTACGTGTACAAGCAATAAGTACGTTTTTATTGAATGCCGTCGGTACGACATTGTGGCTGATTAGGTGTTGTATTTGTGTGCAAAACTTGGTATCGCCTAGTGTTCTTATAGTTTTAAGTAATAACATTTAAGTGTATAGATACAAATTATATTAATTTCTAGTTCGTAATATATCTTTTGTGTATATTTTACTGCTGTACGCGATTTTTAATATATTTACATTTGTTTAGAATATAAAATAGCGTTTTTATAAAACTGTGTTTTCGTATGTTTTCGATATTATATTATTGTCAACTCCATTGTCAAATCTACCTCTACAATCTTCCAAACTATATTATTTTTCTAAACTTTAGTTTACTACAGCTTGCTTAGAATAGGAGTGAACTATATTTTAACGATATACCTTTTAGTGTTTAAGTTTGTATAGGAAATACATATTTTAGAGTAATGAATGATATTTTTATTAATGGTATTATAATCTTTGACACTGGTACCAAGTTTTGCTAGATAAGATTTGCTGTGTGTTACGCTTCATGTGAAAGTCGAATGACTTTATATTATTTACTACTAATACTCATCAATTAATTACACATATCTTTTATTGATAAACTAAGTTAAATGTGGACATACGTTTGTGATCATTGTTGTATCATAAGTTATAATTTGTATGGAGTTAGGGCTAGATCTAAGTTAGGTTTATAGTCCCTTAATCGCTTAGCTGTACATAGCCTTTGTTTGACATCAGCTCCTTGCTTTGTTTTCGTATATTTAAATTTTTCGATATATTTATTACATTACAATAGCTTTTCTCATTCTATTGTATGTACATATTTCTTGTCTAAGTAAGCCACTTTTCGAATTTTACCATTTGGACTAGCACTGTTTCTCTTCAACGTTTTTACTCTTAATAGAGCTCGACTTGAGAACGTAATGCTTGAAGAGGCACTGGTATAAGAAAAAGTGGGTTCCTAATTGTTTTTTACGCACAGCAAACTGTTAAACCCTTTTAACACCCTTTTAAATGACATAAGAGATTATTTTTTGCACAAAACCATAATTTAAACGCAAGATTACGGGATCGACGACGGATTTTCCCATAGTTTAGTCGGGCTCTAACTATCTTATAATAATAAATTTAAAAATTCATTTTAAGAATTCTGATGTTTCTGAAAACTTTTTCTACTAGATGAGAAATGAAAAATGATAATTAAAAAAATATATAATTCTATTTTCCTAATATTTTGTATTGTACTCCCGTAGAATTTTTTTCCTCAATAGTTTGGTAGCATTACGTACATATCGGTGCGTTTGTATTAATGATATTGTACTAAAATATTAAAAGCCATACGATTTGTCTTCCAGTAACTGATCTATTATATCAATAGCGAGTATTGTAGCTTATTATATACATAATTATGAATATAACGCAAAGGTGGTGATATTGCGGGCTTAAAGTTATATATTATACTCATACTCTCTCCACTCTACTTTCAAGGTTTAAAACCTTTAAGAATGATATTTCAAATATATTTACCCTATAAACTTCATATTGCTAATAAAGTATTCAGATTAAATTATAAAAAATTCAAATAAAGCCGTAATAGACACCACCGATTAGTATTTAAGTGACATATCTCAAAGTTATTGTAACTTAGTGCGTTCATTTATTGAATTGTCTTTATGAATAAATGACGACAAAATATTTTATGTTTTAATTTGGAATTATTCCCGAACAGAAGACCTAATAAAAATCACAGCGGACCACTGGATGCATATTGCTTTCAACTGGCGATCCGTATGTTACGAGCGGAAGTCTAATTTTCAGCAGCGAAGGTGACTGATGTGGTAGTGATAATAATAATATAATAATAATAGCCTTTTATTCCTAAACATAGGATTACAAGAGATCCCTAAGTTTGGTGTGACTTTTGGCATAGGCCTTCTCCAATTCTTTTCAATGTGTTCTGTCTCTTGCCACCCTCAACCAGAATGGTCCCGCTGTCAGTTTCAAGTCATCTTCCCATCTCCTGACTTGGCGACCTCTGCTTCTTTTGTCATCCCTTGGTAGCCAGAGGGTGACTTGACGTGGTAGTGATAACGACCCCCAAATTCCAAAATTGATCTCAGTAATAAAATCAATTACATCTTCTCTATTATAAGTATACATTTACATTGCCTAATGACGTAACGGAATTACAATTTTCACACAAAAACAAACAAATCGATACTCGATACTTATTTGTCGACCCTTTCCGTCCCTAAAAAACGACTAATTTAATTTAACGCCACCTAGTTTTCGGGAGCTGTACTTTGTTGTTATAATAATTCAGTTTCGTGTCTATAGATGGCGTTACGTTGTGATCATGAGTTGACATGACTTTATTTTTTTAAGGGTATTATCTGTATCTTCTTTTTTTTTT